GTAAAGACCACTGCTGCCAACTCCAAGTCCTTCAAGTGGCCGCTCGCAGTACTAATGGCTAGTCAAATCCTTGTAGTTGTTGGACACCGCTGTTGTACTTAGCTCGCCTGTACAAGTCAAGTTCGATCAAGCGGCCAAGGCTTGCCTAAATGACCAAACAAACCGTCGAGCAATCGACGAACTTGCCAGACTCACTCGAGTATTAGGCAGCCACAGTATCACGTACATGAGTGGACCTTCCCATTTCCCGCAACGTGAAGGGGGAAAGTACAGTGCTCCGAGCCCCTCAAACAGCCGCTCACGGTACAAGTGAGGAGTATGGTATCTCCCAATAGTACATGGCCATATCCCATAATTCAAGGAGTGGCCACGCCGTCTCTCCTCTATTTAAGAACTTCTTCCGGCCATGGAGAAGGGGTTCAGTAGTTTGGTTGGCTCATAGTTAAGTCATTAATTCAATCAGTTAGCTGAACCGGTTGACACGACAAGCTTTGCATGACCTTTGCACTGTAGCATCCTCTCCTAGCTTCGGGCCCTGATCGCCATCGAACACGGAAACTCGAACTCGACTAGCAAGTGCTTCTACAGTGTATTGAAGCTCACCAGCAACCTCGGTCGAATCGTCCAAGGGAAGCAGACTCGGTGCGAGAACTGAGCGAGGTATTCTGTAGCTACCAAAGTCCCCACGTTAAACAAGGAGGGCCTTCCCTCTGCTTCTGTTGTAATTTAAATTTATTAGTTTGTAATAAGCTACTTTTATCAATACAAACAAAATCCCTATTTCGGGAGATTAAAATTTACACCATACACACTGCTATAGGCTAACTGACTGCCGAAAGAATTTTGGAAACTCTTCCAGATATAAGATGTGACTAAGTCATGATCTAATACAATCGTCTATAAAACTCCATGCAGTCTCACAATCTTCCGAATGAAGATTCTTACATAAGTCTCTGCAGTATGGGTTGTCTTAACTGGCAAGAAGTGCACGCTAACTGACTGCCGAAAGAATTTTGGAAACTCTTCCAGATATAAGATGTGACTAAGTCATGATCTAATACAATCGTCTATAAAACTCCATGCAGTCTCACAATCTTCCGAATTAAGATTCTTACATAAGTCTCTGCAGTATGGGTTGTCTTAACTGGCAAGAAGTGCACCAACTTCATCAGTTGATCGACAATCATCCAGATGGAATCATTTTCTTTGCTAGACCTCGGCAATCCCATAATGAAATCCATCGAAATATCTACTCACTTCTATTTAGGAATAGGTAAGGGTTGTAGGGTATCAGCTGGTTTCTGATGTTCCGCCTTCACCTGCTAATAGATAAAGCATTTAGAGACATACTTTGCAAACATCCTTATACATGTCGTTCCACCAAAAGTGCCTCTTCAAATCCTTGTACATCTTGGTTGTGCCTGGATGTATGGTATACCTATACGATGTGACTCATCAAACAGATCCTTTTTCAACTATGAAATATCTGGCACTACTAACTAGCCTCTCATCCGAAGGCCTCCATCTGACCTGATGGTCCAATTTGCCTTGGGCTCTTTGGAAATCTCCCCCTTTCGGATTTGAATCCAAGAGTCCTCTAACTGTACATTGATCACTCTATTAACCCACGATGGCTGTACTGCTAACGCCCCTAAGAATGCACTGCATTTACTAACCTTTGGTCTAAAATCAAACTGACTGAGGGTAAGAAGGTCTCGGTACAACGAACATCTCAAAGATGCAAGTTTGTGATGAAACTTCCTGCTCTAAGCATCTGCTACGACGTTCGCCTTTCCCGGATGATACCAAAGTGCTAACTCATAGTCCTTAATGAACTCGACCCATCGCCTCTATCACTGGTTGAGTTCCTTCTGAGAAAAGATATATTTTAGCCTCTGGTGGTCTGTAAACAACTAAAACTAAAGCCCATAAATGTGACGCCCCTGTTTAAGGAATAATCGCAAAATATCACAACCAGAGAACAGAAATCTGTTCAATACAGAGTAGTCGACTAATAACATGTATAATCAACTGCTCCTTTCCTGATGCAACTCACAGAAACGTTTTCATAGTAGAATAGTCAACTAATGTTCATATTAGTCGACTACTCACACTCAGTCTAATTTTCCAGTTTCTGGATGGACTCAGAGTAGTCGACTACTAAGCGTAGTAATCGACTATTAAGGCTATTTTTTGAGTTTGTATTTTGTATCTGTTTGAGATGTGTTCACGAGGTTCGAGCCACACTTCTTTACATATAGATTCACGAATATATAAGTACACTGTCGGTGCACACACATGAGTATTCCAGAGGGGAATATATCAAGTGTTGGGTTGTTTATTATTCATACACTCGTTGGATATCGTTGATAAGCATAGATCAGTACTATATGGGATAGTGCGTCGATATACAAGATTTACATAGTTAATACATGAGATGGATATTATTGATTAGCTCAGTTCAGTACTACGTGGGGGTAGTGCATCGATATTCCATTCGTACAGGCCATTGAGTCGGGTTTGGATGCTTTGTCTAGTAGTCCATCCGCACAAGGGTGCGATGAGGCTTATGAGCCATCTTTTTGGATATCAGTATGGTAGGCCGTCCTACACTCATGTTACACACTAAGATCGTGATGAGACTAATGAGCAATGTATACTATTTAGGATATCTACAGGGTAGTCCGTTACACATGATGATGCTAAGTTTTAGAATCTTGTAAAGAGTTGCCCTGAGATAGCTAATTGATAGCCTGAGTCTTTGGGGGATGCCAGTTATGGATATGACTCATCATTGAGATATATGACCGAGATACTTTACTTTTGAAAGTATATGTGATTATATGTTGGTATTTATTCTATCTCCCCAATGATAGTGGAGGATAATATAAATACGATGTATTGATGTCTTTATTTCCATTATTGCTTTCTTTATGCCTTTGTTGGGATTAATGATTATTAATTTACAATTTGAGACATATGGTATATACATGAGGGTTTCCTTGTTTGGATTTTATCGCTCGACGTACCAGTCTCGTGTTGTGAATTTCTAATTATTGATTTTATTCAGTTCGTATACTATTAGTTCGGTATTAATGTTTAGATATCTA